ATAGCTCATGAATATATGTGAAGAATAAGGAGAAAAGGCACAGAGCATATGTTCGTGTGTCATGTTAATTACTGTAAATCTCTCTCAGTATCATGCCTCACTCAATGTCTTATCTCTACATTCTATACTGAGCCTGACTAGTATTTATCAGGTGTATTCAAATAAATTTTGATTGCATTTTAATTTTGTTTGAGTAAATGACATTTTCAAATAAATCAGAAGCACTATTAGCAAAAATGAGTTTTTTTGGGATTGAAATTATACTGCCTGAGTTGTATAGTGATCTCTGTAATCTAGCTCAGGGTAATGTTAGTATAACTTTTCTTTCTTTTTTATAACAGGCTTTGTTTAAATATGCAGAAGATAAAAGATTATTCTAAAAACATCTATAAATGCTTATAGTTTCATCCAACAAGCAGGATGGTCTAAGAGTTTATTCTATCTTTGGTGTTTAGAAAGCAGAAAGATGTTAAAGAGGAAATTAACACATTTATCCTAGGTAATAAGGGCTGTTCACTTCAACAGATGTTCCAGAGACCTTTATAATGATCTAGGGAAGCTTGTAAGTAGAGGGAAATATAAGGCAGTATTTATAGAAGTACAGCTTAAACAGTGAGATTAAAGCATGATTTAATTGAAACAGCACAAAACAGTATTTAAAGAAGTGTTCAAGTTCTGGCTCTCTCTTTTGCCTATGTTTCCTTACCTGAAAAATGGCAATAATGATGTAAGTTGGGCAGAACTCTAAGAATGATCCCCAATGGCTCTCACTCTTGTATAGTGTCTTCACTGCATGTGACTAGACCTGTGAATATAATGAGATATCACTCTTAATTATGTTAAGTTATATGGCAAAAGGAAGATTATTTGATTGGGCTTAATCTATTCACATGAGATTATAAATGCAGTTTTCTCCAGCTGATAACAGAAAAAGAAATCAGAGATTCTAAGCATGGAGGGATTTGATGTACCATTGCTGGTTTTGAAGATGGATGAAGCCGTATGTAAAGGAATGTGAGATGTGGGAGTAGCACTCAGCTGATAGCCAGTAAGAAAAGGTAATCAATCACAAAAAACTGAATTTGTTCAGACTTGAATGATCTCAGAAGTGAATTCTTCCCCAGAGCCCCAGGTAAGAGCCTAGCCTGGGTGATACTTGATTTTGGCCTTGTGAGGTCATAAGCAAAGTTTCTTGGTGAGCCAGCCAAGGCTTCTGAGCCTCCAAACTATAAGATGGTAAATGAGTACTATTAAACACCAAACATGTTGTGCAGCAATAGAAAATTAATGTACCAGCTCACAGGGTTGATATGTGGATTAAATAGTATAACATCTGCAGATTTTCTTAATATATGCAACTTCTCCTCAAGTTGTAAACACTCAATAAATGATAGCTATTTTGTTGTTGTTGTTAGATATATTATTCTGAGCAAACCTCGGAAACCCATAAACTGGAAACCTCAGACTTCTATCTTTAGGAAGATAATTGTTCCAGTATACAAAATTCTTAAATGATAAATGATAATGCATATTCACATGCTTATATAAATTAATATGCTAATGTTGTCCTAAAAATGTCATTTCATTAATTTCATAAGAGAGAAAGATTACAATATTATAACCAGTGAAGATATAACTTATAAACCAAGACCTGAACCTGAAAAATGAGTTGGATTTATATGAGTGAGAAAGACAAAGAAAAGGACTTAAGAGGGAGGTGATAGGGTTTGGCTCTGTGTCCCCCACTCAGATCTCATGTGGAATTGTAATCCCCACGTGTCAGGGAAGGAAGCTGAAGTGAGGTGATTGGATCATGGGATCAGAGTTTCCTTGTGCTGTTCTCATCACAGTGAGTGAGTTATGAGATCTGATAGACTAAGAGTCTGGCACTTTACCTTTTGCTCTCTCTCCCTTGCTGCTGTGTGAAACATGCCTTTCTTCCCCTTTTCCTTCCACCACAATTGTAAGTTTCCTGAGGCCATGTGAAACTTGGGAGTCAATTAAACTTCTTTTTTAAAATAAATTACCCAGTTTCAAGTAGTTCTTTATAGCAGTGTGGAAAAAAAAAAGCCTGAAACAGAAAATTGGTATTCATAAAGGGGTACTGCTGTAAAGATACCTGAAAATGTGGGAATAACATTGGAAGTCAGTAACAGGAAGAGTTTGGAAGTTTGGAGAGCCCAGAAGAAGGAAGAAAGATGTGGGGAAGTGTCGAACTTCCTAGACACTTGTTGAGTGGTTTTGACCAAAATGCTAACAGTGATACAAAGGATGAAGTCCAGGCAGAGGTGATCTCAGATGGAGATGAGGAACTTACTGGAAAGTGGAGTAAAGGCCACTTTTGCTATGTTTTAGCAAATGAACTAGTAGCATTTTGCCCCTACCGTATAGATCTGTGGGACTTTGAACTTGAGAGAGAGAATTTAGAGTATCTGGCAGAAGAAATTTCTAAGCAGCAAAACATCAAGAAGTGACATGGGTTTTTTCTAAAAGTGTAGGCTCATATGTGTGAAGAAAGAGATGATTCAAAATTGAAACTTATGTTTAAAAGAGAAGCAGAGCATAAAAGTTTGGAAAATTTGCAGCCTAACCTTGTAGTAGAAAAAAAAAAAAACAACATTTTTTGGGGAGAACCTCAAGCCATTTGTAGAAATATGCATAAGTAACAAGAAACTGAATGGTAATCAGCAAGACAATGGGGAAAATGTCTCCAGGGCATGTCATAGATATTCAGAGCAGCCTGTCCTATCACAGGCCTGGAGGCCTAAGGGGAAAAAATTATTTCATGGGCCAGATGCAGCCTCCGGATTTGGTGCCCGGCATCCCAGCTACTCCAGATCCAGATATTGCTAAAAAGGGCCAAGGTATAACATGAGCTGTTGCTTCAGAGGATACAATTCCCAAACCTGGCAGCTTCCACATATTCCTGGTCCTATAGGTGCACAGAAGGCAAGAATTGTGGTTTGAGAACCACCACCAAGATCTCAGAGGATGTATGGAAATGCGTGGATGTCCTGGCAGAAGTCAGCTTCAGGGGTGGAGCACTCATGGAGAATTCTGCTAGGGTAGAACAGAGAGGAAATGTAGATTTGGAGCTACCCCACAGAGTCCCCACGGGGGCACTGCTTAGTGGAGCTGTGAAAAAATGGCTGCTATCCTCTTGACCCCAGAATGGTAGATCCACTTACAGCTTGTACTGTGCACCTGGAAAAGTTGCAGGTACACAATACCAACCACAGAAAGTAGCTATAGGGGTTGTACCCTGCAGAGCCACAGGTGCAGAGCTGTCCAAGCCCATGGGAGCCACCCCTTGCATCAATGTTCCCTGGATGTGAGACATGTAGTCTAAGGAGATTTTGGAGCTTTAAGATTTAATAGCTGCCCTGTTAGGTTTTGGACCTGCATGGGGTCTGTAGTTTTCTTGTTTTGGCCAATTTCTCCCTTTTTGAGTGGAAGCTTTTACCCAATGCCTATACCCCCATTGTATCTTGGAAGTAATTAACTTGTTTTTGATTTGACAGGCTCATAGGTAGACGGGAATTGTCTCAGATGAGACTTCAGACATGGACTTTTCAGTTAATATTGCAATTAGTTAAGACTTTGGGGGGATGTTGGGAAGACATGTTTGATTTTTCAATGTGAAAAGGATACAAGATTTGGGAGAGACCAGGGCAGATTGATATCATTTGGCTCTGTGTCACCCAAATGTCATGTCAAATTGTAATCCCCATGTGTCAGGGAAGGGACCTGGAGGGACATGATTGGATTCTGGGGGCAGACTTCCCCCATGCTGTTCTTGTGATTGTAAGTTCTCATGAGGTCTGATGGTTTAAAAGTGTAGCACCTCCCCTTTTCACTCTCTTTCTCCTGCTGCCATGTTAGATATGCCTTACTTTCCCTTTGCCTTCCATCATTAAGTTTCCTGAGACCTCCCAAGCCATGTGGAAGTGAGTCAATTAAACCGCTTTTCTTTCTAAATTATCCCATCTCAGATAAATCTTTATAGCATTATGAAAATGAGCTAATACAGTGGGAAGACCAGCTGAATCAAGGCCTGAAAGCAATATGGGCATTATTTTATTGTTTTTTGCCAGGAAAGGAATGGCTGGACTCAACCAAATGTTTTCTTTACTATTATCATTACTTACCAGAGGACTTCTAGGAGATTATAATATGCTAAGTATGGTTAATGTCCAATTGGGAGTAGAAGTGTTTTGTGAAACGTATTTGATTATGAGCCCCTCTGTTTCCCTCTCTTCTTCTAATATCATCTCATTAGTTTTGTTTCATTTAGCTTTTTGTTTTCTTTTAAATCCATAAGGCTCTAGACACTATGCCAGGGCTGAGGATAAAAAGACATGCGAGATCTGTATAATTCTTTTTTTTTTTTTTTTGAGCTTAAGTAATAAAAATTTATTGAGGATTCCTGGGTTGGTGTTTATCTCCTCCCAGCCTTGAGGGAGGGAACAACACTGTAGGAAATCACTGAGAAGTCACACACTGTCCCAACATCCCTGGCCGACACAGGGAGGAGGAAAGTAATTCCCCAGAAAAGGGGCTGGTCTTCAGTCTTCCTTAATCCAAGAGGGATTTGGGGGACGGGTGCGGGGACCATTGCATGATACTGGGGTGGGGTAGAGCTGTGCTGGACCCCAGGATGGCTCCTCAAAAATAGGAGAAGCAGATCCACTTCCTCTGGGGATGGAGTTTTCAGTGACTAGGCTCATTTCTTACCCTTGATGAGGCTGTCACTTCCTCGGGTGAAACTTTCATCCTGTAGGTTGAGCACAAGGTTGTCAGCAGTGAGATAGATGTGATTCTGTGATGTGGCGATTGTCTTGGAGATATTCTGGGCTGCCCGGATCTTGTGAAGTTTGATGTAGCCAGGGTTCTTGCTCAGAGTTTCTCCAAGGTGAGTAGAGTTAAGATTCACACAAGGGCAGGCCTGAATCCCCGGCCCCATCCTTACCACACTCCCTTGCTGCAGTCCTCCTCTGGGCTGACAGATCCAAGGTTGTGTTCAGGTGACTCGTGCCCAGCCCTACCTTGGACCCCTCTGTAGGCTGCTGCCAGGAACTGGGGGTAGCAGCAGAAATGAAGGCAAGGCCATCTGTGTAATTATAATCCAAATAAAGAAAGATATATTTTCGGCTCTGAGGAGAAAAAGTGGACAGGAGATCTCACTAGTTCTTTTGAGCTCTTCAGGTCCAAATTAGTTTTCTTATTTTAAGTCTGTGTATTAAGCCTGGTCTCTATCTAAATCTTTTAGCAGAATTAGACGGTTTAGTGAACCTGATATGTCTTCTCTAATAGCTGTGCCACTTACTGGCAGCAGTGGGAGATACGGACTATTATTTCCGGCTTCAGAAAAGTTTCAACAATAATTACATCCATGTACAATACCTCCATATTCTGAATATAAATAGTTTTCTAATCAACATTGCAGATTTTGTAGTAACACAACTGAAAGTGGATATTTTTCAGTCATTGTTTAAAACACAAATCTCTGCTATGAGTTTCAGTAGCTAGAAGTAATACCAATCAAAAAGAAATGTGGATATTTCTCTCCTGTCTAGCTTAAAGTTTATCAGTTCTGAGATTTATCAACAAAAGAGTTCATTGGAGGAAAATTACTTTTCTTGAAAGGTGAGCATACATTGTGAACTAAGAATTGTTTTTTAAGTGTTCCTTGAGGAAATTCGCTGTTTATTTTGACTTTTTGATCAGTCATTTTACAGTTCCCATTTAACAATATTTGTGCTATAGAATAGAGTAAAATTTGAAGTCTCATTTTAGAAAAGTATTGAAAACATTAAAAAATTATTTTACAAAAAATGATAAAAATGGACTCTAGCTTTATTTCTATTTTCATGTGACTATTCATAATCTCTTACACCCATAAAGGTATATGGCTTGTAGGATGTCTAAATTGTGTATATATCTTTTTATTTCAATGGTATTTTGCCATAAAAACGTGTAATAGTTTGAATTTCAGTTGGAAATAGCTTTTCTTTAAAAATTTTGGAAGGACATTATTAAACATGTTAATAGGATGTTTCTAAGATTAAACAAGTTGAAAGAATAAACACCTCAACTCTAGTAAATTCCTTATGGGCCCTTATTTATTTAAGACCAAATTAATAATTTTGATTTTAAAAGTATGTATTAAAGCATTTTTCATGACTTTATAAACAAATTTATGATGCACATGAGCTCTGTGGTATCTTTTCTTGTAAGAATACTAATCCTATCATATCAGGGACCTACTCTTTTGACCTCATTTAAAAGTTAATTTCCTCCTTTATAGGAAATATCCATATACAGTTTTTAAGTAATACATTTTGCAAATAACCAAAGATTTTTATCTTCTGTGATTCAGATCAACATTCATCAAGCACTGGTTATAAGAAAGACACTTATTGAGATTCAATGGAAAGTAGATGAATAAGATTCTAACTACCTAACTAGAAAAGAACATCTTTTAAACATTAAAATATCAACTAAATAAATCCAAAGGTGATAGATGCTTACTGATATCGAACAAAGGATAAAGTCAGGGTAGATATTAAAAAAAAAAGTCACATTTTTTAGATGCATCCTAAAGAAATCAGGATATCTATCATATGAAGTGTGGCTTTATAATTTCTTTTAAAAAAGCATACTACTTGATATATTTGACAGAAATCAAGTAAATACACACTTGTAAGTTCTTATGAAGTTGAGGTTTTCATTAAAATTGTGGTAGACCATGTTATATTCCATGACTTAAAATGTATTTCCAGACCCAGTTGATTTTTATCTGTGATGTGTCTTTGGGTTTTTTCCCACTAATATTTATTTCCTCTACCAACTGGGATATTGCAATAGTCTTCTATTGAGTTTTCCCATCCCTTGCACAACAAGTCAAGAAAAACTATATGCAATTATTGCTTAAACTGTGATCTTTGGATTAGAAGAGCCTGAGTTTATATTCTGGATCTATCGTTAGTTAGCTCTGTGATATCAGGTAAATTATGGAATATCTACAAATGTCGGGTTAAGTATATTGCATATGTCATATAATTATGAATAGTAAATGCCACGATGCAAGTTGAGTGCTTCATGCATGGCATGTAATAATCAATGATTTATTCACTATCATTACTATATCATATGAAAATGAGACTATAATAAGCACATTTCAGTAAAAGAGTAACATAGTCAGTTCTGTGCCTTGGAATATCTGATCGCAGTATCCTAAATAGATTGATCTAAAGAGGCCTAGTTACAATCCCAGTAATTAAGTGTTATGCAAAAGATAATTATCTTATCTAGGGCAGCAGTAACAAAGCACCCCAGGCTGGGTGGCCTAAGTGGCAGACATTGATTTTCTCATAATTCTGGAGCCTGGGAGTCTGAGATCAAAATGCCAACATGGTTAGTTTCTGGTGTGGTCGTTCTCCATGGCTTGCAGGCAGCCACAATCTCCCCGTGTGTTCACATGGTCTCTTTTTGTGTGTGCACACAGGTGGAGGAAGAAAGAGGTAACCTTGATTACCTCCAATAGGCCCCATCTCCCAATATAATTACACTGGGGGTTTAGAGTTTCAACATGTGAATTTCGGGGGAACACATGTTCAGTTCATAACATTAATGACGGTCTAGTATAGGACACCGACCATGGGAATGTCATGAAAGGATCAATGGAATTTGTGAGTCAATTCTGTTAAAGATGGAGAGAACTTGATATCTGTTTGGTAAAGAAAAAGACAGCTATAGAATCTAGAAAGTGACTTCAAGACTCTCACAAAGGTGACTAAAGGAAAGTAACAGAGTAACAAACAGTAACAGATATTAAAAAGGGAAAGAAGCAAATGAAAAATGAAAAGATGTAAAAAGGTGATGATTACAGTTGTAGTTTTCCAGAAGTCAGTTGAAAATTCAGTCATTATTCTTGTATGCATTGATCCCTAACCATAAGCATTCTACTGGGGCCTTACAAATGAACTGTGAATAAGAGAGAGTCTATCCTTGAGGACATCTTTGTCTGGTGAAATGTTAGACTAGAACTCAGTGAGAAGACCAGTGCTAGAGCTTGGGGGCTCATACACATTAAGGTGTTAGTAGAAATTACATGCCTAGCAATGAACAAAGTATCAGGATGAAATATGGGAAAATACTTTAACTATTTTAAATGTCACTGATCCACAGTAAGTTTTGCTGCATAAAAAGTGCATATGGCCGGGCGTGGTGGCTCAAGCCTGTAATCCCAGCACTTTGGGAGGCTGAGGCGGATGGCTCACAACGTTAAGAGATCGAGACCATCCTGGTCAACATGGTGAAACCCCGTCTCTACTAAAAACACAAAAAAATCAGCTGGGCATGGTGGTGCGTGCCTGTAATCCCAGCTACTCAGGAGGCTGAGGCAGGAGAATTGCCTGAACCCAGGAGGCAGAGGTTGCGGTGAGCTGAGATCGCACCATTGCACTCCAGCCTGGGTAACAAGAGCGAAACTCCGTCTCAAAAAAAAAAAAAAAAAAAAAAAAGCGCATGTGTGTATACCTTATTTTAAAAATCAACTATTTTTGTCTAAGAAAAGGACTCCAAACAACTGTATTTAGAGGTCAATGTAGAGATTTCACCCTTAGGAAAATAAAACAAAAATCCACAGTTCTCATTAACATTTATTCGTAAAGGGTGGTGCTAAGTCACAGACTACAGGAATGTTGTATGTTGTGTGACTATTAAATATCTGGTTGAACAATAGTAAAATAAATATTCTGCCACCACTTCTTACACACAGCTTATATGTTCTTTGTCTTTTACCCATTAAGATGAAATTCATCAAACTGTTGCCACATACATGAAACAAAATAAAGCTTCCCCAGTGTGATCTCAGAAAATCTTGATTAGTACTTTGTGCAAAGTGGCATTCAAAGCAGTTAATAGGCACTTTTGGTTTTACTTAGCTTTCCAATAAAAACTCTTTGTGACCTTGGGTTTAAAAGGGAGGTAAACTGGAATTTTACAGCAAAGGGCAGAGAGCTCAGGGAGAGCAGGTCATAACTTTGTTTAAAATGAACTTGTCAATGGGAAGAGGCGGGGGCCAGTTTATACAGCTTCAGTAGACACTGTGAGAAAGTCTCTAGCAACTTAATAAAGGTACTGTCTTCATATACTGTTTAGTGAAAATTGGAATATAGTATAAAAACATTCCTTTCCTCTTTCTCTTCTTCCTAAAATGAATCAATTTATGGAAGACAATAGTAATACATTTCTTCTATTCACATATCTGTGAGAATTTTCTCTTTTGGTCATGATGGAAAAACATAGACAATCTTTCTTGCCATCCGCTTCATACACACAATAAAAAGAGAAGATATTAGACATATGTTGTTTTGCTCAGTGCTTTATAACTTAGGAGTTTTGACAGTTTAATGATTTTATTAATGATGTCATTTTGTACCAACTTAAAAATTTATGATTTTCATTTCAATAGATTCTATGAAAACCAAATAATATTGTTAACAGGAAATTTAAGCAAATCCTTTGGGAAAATTAAAATTTTTTCCAATTACAAAGGATCTCAGTAACGTGTGTGTGCGTGTGTGTGTGTGTGTGTGTGTGTGTGTGTGTGTGTGTATTTCCAATAAAAGGATTTAGTGATAATTTAAAATACATATATTCTACACTAAAAAATACAAGATTATATTACTTTGAACACTAGAGATCTGTGCTGACCAATACCGTAAGCCACTAGTCATATGTGGCTATTTAAGTTGAAACACCATTTTTTTAAATTAAAAATTTAGGCCCTCCAATGCACTAGCTGCATTTCATGCTCACACTAGCCATACATATCCAGTGGCTACTATACAGGACAACAGAATTTATAAAATAGTTACGTCATCACAAAGGCTTATATTAAATAGTGCTATTGATTGTGTAAACATTATCTTAGACAAAGCCTTACCTTCCATCTGCTGACTGCCTAATAGGGAGAGCTGAGATTAACCAACTAACTAAAATATTTATGAAAAACTTTAAGACACAGTAGGTGCTAGATTTCTAGTAGAAAATGAGAAAGGTAGGTTTTCTGTTCTGTGTTCAGAAGTCTCAAAATTAAGTTTTTCTAAACATCTGAGTCTTTTAGGAATGTTTCTTCCTTAGGATTCATTATGACACATTAATTTTAATCTTGTTAAACTATGAGTTTGTGGAT